GTAAAACACCGACCCTTTTCGCTTTGGTTCTCCCTGTGTTTATCAAAAAACAAAGTCAGTGGTCTGTTAACATATTATATTATTTCCTCCACTGACAGGAAGATAGTCCAGTAAAGTCTTGAGACACCTGCCACCTTTGGCTCTGTGTACAAATGTGCAGAGCTACTTATCCATTAGGATCTTCTGAGATGGAGCGAAAACACAACAGAGGAGCAGAGAAACTGGAAAAATAAAAACTACAGTTTAAGCAAATGTGGTTCAATGAGGATAAAGAGAGTTCAGTGGGAGAAGTAACTCTGTGCTAGCTTCCATGTTATAGAACTTTCTGGATCACCACACCAAATTAGCCTTAAAATAACTCTTTTTGTTGCTTATATAATTTATTCTACACATCCTTTTAATCACACTAATTAACCTCAAAAGGGTCAAAACTGGACCTTTTCTGCCAGATTACTAATGTAATTTTTGTCATGCCAAATGTTCTTCAGAATGTTCCCTCTGTATTTATTTTTTCAATATTTGAAGTCCCCCAGAGGGGCAGGCCCAAGTGTCTGGGACTGCCCCTGCGACCCAACCCTGGGTAAGTGGAAGAGGATGGATGGATGGATGGATGGATGGATGGATGGATGGATGGATTAAAACAAAACACCAACATGGTGTGACATCATGATATCATTAAAATGCAAATGCCCAGGTGACATCATCCAGTGACTGGGTCAACTTCAGCTATTTGTGTTGGATGCAGTTGGCAACACTGTGTGTGAATGCACATGGAGGATTATTTTACTGACTTTTATTTAATTACACATCTTTTCAAATGCAGCAGAATTACTTCATTAGTTTCTCAGTCACATCAGCTGACACTCTTCTGCACCCCATCGTAAAAGATTTCAGTTAAACCAGAAGCATGCCTGTGAATTCTTTTCTCACCTGCCTGCAGCAAATTAGGCACCAACTCAAGACGCTGGTACGTGTTTTGCTAGGTCGTTTCCCAAGAAGAGCCCACTTAAAGGTTTTGGAGAGTCATTAAATTATGGAAGGAATGTGCTGAAGTGGCAACAACAGTCTACTTGACAAAACTGCCTTCAACTTGTGTTTCTGAACATTAAAAAGGAAGAGGGTGATGCAAGATAATTGTGTCACCTGTCGTTGACTCAGAGACTCACTGCACCTCTATGTACGTGATGTTAATTAGATTTGTGCAATAGATGAAAATAGAAACAGTTTTCTGAGCTTTTTATTTAAAACAACCATCAGCCCAAAGATAATTAAATGAAACCAAATAAATGCATAATTTAAAATAACCTTCAAATATTCCCCCCGGTCCAAACATTAATAATGCCATAAGTCATCTCAGTATGGGGAAAACTGTCCAACTGACTGCATTAGTTAAAGCTATCTTTACAAGTAACACAATAATTGGATACAGATTGTGCGATTGTAGGCCTAATTAAATAAAATAGGGGTCAGAAAAGTTTTTATGTGCTTTGTGTACATACTCAAGTCTTCTGTTTCTCCGCTTTTTTGCACAGTAAAGAACATGCACATAAAATCCTAGTTTCATTACCAATGGCAGTTCAAATCTAACCTTTTTTTCAAGGTAATGTCATACTAGATAGTTTTATAATGCCAAACAACATCATACCCACCAGAACAGTGAGATGCTTCGCTAATAACAAACCCTGCGTCACCAGTGAACTGAAGAATCTGCTAAATGAGAAAAAAAGAGCCTTCAAGGAGGGAGACAGGGAATTATTGAGGAGTATACAGAAGCAACTGAAGATCAAGATCAGAGACAGCAAGGAGGCATACAGGAAGAAGCTGGAGAACAAACTACAGAGGAACAATATCAGAGATGTCTGGTCAGGGATGAAGAAGATTGCAGGCTGCAACCAGAGGAAGGATTGCAGATGGCAGCCTGGACACAACCAATGAACTGAACAAGTTCTTCAATAGGTTCAGTTCAGGAACAAACCCAGCATCCTCCTCGCCTGTTCCCATCCAATCATACATCCCATCCTCCTCTGATCCAACATTTTCCTGTCACACGCCAGCTCTTTTGTCCTCTAACACAGTCATGGACCCTTCTGGTTCTATAAATTTGTCTTCAACCAAGTCAGGAGATGCTGCTGCCCCATTTACCTCCCCCTCCCACCTATCTGTCTCTAGAAGTCAGGTGAAGAGGCAGCTGGAGAGACTGAACAGGAACAAGGCTGCAGGTCCAGATGGTGTCAGCCCCAGAGTACTGAAGGCCTGTGCAGAGCAGCTCTGTGGGATTCGGCAGCACCTCTTCAACCTCAGCCTGGCCCAGGGGAAGGTTCCAGTCCTGTGGAAGACATCCTGCCTTGTTCCAGTTCCAAAGAAAACTCGCCCATCAGTCAATGACGACTACAGAGTGGTTGCCCTGACATCCCACATCATGAAGGTCCTGGAGAGACTCCTGCTGGTCCACCTGAATAAGCAAACTAGAACATATCAGGACCCACTGCAGTTTGCTTATCGCCATGGAGATGGAGTTGAAGATGCCATCATCCAGCTGCTTCAACCAATCCACAGTCATCTGGACAAAGCAGGCAGCACTGTGAGGGTCATGTTCTTTGATATCTCCAGTGCATTAAACACAATTCAGCCTGATGTACTTTGCCAGAAACTCCAGAAGACACATGTGGGGGCCTCAACTATCACCTGGATTAAAGACTACCTGACAAACAGACCACAGTTTGTGAGGCTGAAGAACTGCTCATCAAACCAGGTGATCAGTAACATTGGAGCACCACAGGGGACTGTACTCTCACCATTCCTTTTCACCCTGTACACCTCAGACTTCCAGTACAAATCAGAGACCTGTCATCTACAGAAATACTCAGATGACTCTGCAGTTGTCGGGTGTATCAGAGATGGACAGGAAGCTGAGTACAGAGAGCTGGTGGAGCGCTTTGTGGCATGGTGTGGAAACAATCATCTGACCTTGAATGTGAACAAAACAAAGGAGATGATTTTAGACTTCAGAAGAAACAGGGTGGAGTCAAACACTGTTTCCATCACGGGAGACGAAGTGGAGGTGGTTGACGAATACAAATACCTTGGAGTTCACCTGGACAACAGACTGGACTGGAGAAAGAACTGCGAAGCCGTTTACAAGAAGGGACACAGCAGACTGCACTTCTTGAGGACGCTTAGGTCCTTCAATGTCTGTAGCAAGATGCCGCAGATCTTCTACAAGTCTGTTGTTGAGAGTGTAATCTCTTCAACCCTCGTCTGTTGGGGTAGTAGCATCAGAAGCAGGGACCTGAAAAGGCTCAACAGCCTAATAACAAAGGCTGGTTCTGTTCTGGGGACGACTGTGGAACCACTGGAGGAGATAATGCAAAGAAGAATTCTCCAGAGAATCAAGAAAATTATGGACCACCCCGAGCATTCTCTTCACAAGACTGTCCGACAATGGAAGAGTGTCTTCAGTCAGAATCAAACATGAAAGCCTGCTCACCCGCCATTTGATTTTCATACAGGGGACATCGAGCAAGCAGCAGCTCTCAGTTAGGCAAGTGGGGAGTAAATGAGTCAGGTAGATACGTTGGGGCATGCCCTTCTAAGGCCTTAAAAACAAAGGGCAGGCTCTTGAACAGGATGTGGAAATTTACAGATAGCCAACGAAGACGTTCCAGGACAGGAGTAATATGACTCTGCCTGTTGGTATTGATCAGGAAACTAGCTGCAGCATTCTGGACCACCTGCAGCCTGTTTAAGGCTGAGGCAGGGACATCAAAGGGAACTAAAGAGTTGTGAGGGTCCATTTCAATTGCTTTGGTCTTGAACTTGTTTAGTTTCAGGAAGTTGTCAGCTACCCAACCCCACACCGCTAAAAGGCATCGGTGAAGGAGTGAGAAAGCATTTGGATTTTTCATGGCCATGCGATCTGACAATCATCTGCATAAATTTGATAACCAAGACCATATTTTTTCAGGATTTTGCCCAAGGGGAGGATGTAGCTAGACCAAAGGAGAGCACCAACAACTGAACCTTGAGAAGAGTTGACCAACTGATGTTAGCTGTCTGTTTTATTGTTACTTTCACACCATTTCTATGTTGATGTTTACTATGCGGGTCTTGTGAGGACTCATGCCTAATAATTAGAATGTCTTATCTCCTGAGACATTGTTTCTAATCTTGTTTTTGGCTTATGGAGAATACAAAATGTTTGGTTTTAAGATCTAAGCTGTCATATTGCATGAATAAAAAATATAATAAAAAAACTACTTTTTCACTGTACTTTAGACATGATACAAACAATACTTGTAAAATGCAATAAATTTACAATATTTGAAAACAGGAATTCAGATTTAAACATTTTTTCCCTTAAAAACTCAATTGCTCTTTTGGCCAATTAGCATTCAGTTTGTGGCTTTGGTGTTTAATGCAGTATGTGCCAACATTATTTGGGTCAACAGCAGGTTTGCCATCACAGTTTATATTTGAATATAAAGATGAGTCATTGTAGCGTGACACTCTGATGAAAGCAGTCTAAAAAGTAATTTCGTATAATGTGATGGTTTGGACATTTTCTCTAATACCAAGTGAACAAAAATGATCTAAAATGCTTCCGCTTTTTAACTCTGTGACTAGATCTGCGCTTCATTTTGTAGGATGAATTCACCCAGGTGGCAGCTGAATATTTAAATTTAATATGTAACTGTCCACAACTGAATTGGTTTTGGATTACTTTTACTAATAATGCCACTCCCAACTGAACAAGATTACATAAAACGCCGGCTGTGTCAACTGTTGGCTGTGATTGCTTTATACTCATATGAGTTTGAAGTCCTGTTCAATCTATCTAGATTAGGTTAAAACTGTGAATACCAATTTGAGAAAACACACATGTAGAAAACTGCTCTGACCTTGGATACAGAGAACACTTGCAAAGAAACCACCTCCTCCATGTCTCTTTTTCAAAGAATCCATTTATTTACTGCATTTGCTTTTCTCCCTCCTCCCTGCAGCTCCCTCCAGAACGATGACGATGACGAGGTGTCTAACAAGACGTGGGTGCTTACTCCCAAAGTGTACGAGAGTGATGTCACGCACATCTTAAATGGCCTGCTGAAAGGATACGATAACAAGCTCAGACCTGATATTGGAGGTGGGGACTTATTAAGTACTCCTGCCTGATTTCCTGCTTTATTTTTTAAATGTGTTCAATTGTGCATCAAATTTTGAGTGACAAATAAAAAAAGGTGTACGATTTGGTCATAACATCCTGTTAAGCAGTAGAGCAGCTCAGTGCTGACAGGTAGCTCAGCTCTATATAAAGTATCCCCAGCTGTGTTTATGTCCGTGCATGCATTACGGTAAGGGAAGCTGTCCATCATCATCCTGTAAGCCTGCAGACAAGTAGCTTACTCCCTTCACTTTGATGGACAGCTGATGAGGACACTCTTGTCTCTGTGATCCTATCAAATTAATCTGCACGAGTAGAAAAAGGAGACGCTTGGAAAGCTTAAATCCATGATCTGTGGGGTCAGGTTTCTGAGGAATGTGGCTGAAGTTAGGAGATGTGCATATATCCTTGCATAGGAATAAAATACTGCCCTTATAGTTTCATAATGCTATTTGAGAAGCATTTGCACAAAAAAATGACAGAGCAAGAATTGTTTTGAATATTAAGCTTTTGGAAATATCCTTTATTTTTCCACAGATTCACCATCTTGTGTGTTCTCGTGTCTCCAAATGAAATTTTAAAGGGTACATGTTGTGTAAAATTCCCCTTTCATATCCCTTCGTGCTGTCATATAGGTCTCTACTGTGTCTTTTAACCCATCCACCTGTTTTATGACAGTGTTTGGTTTTAAAACAAGCTATTTCAAAACAGCCCAATTTGTGATGTCACAAATGGGAAAAGCAAAACAGAATCACATCTCATGTGCAAGAGAGAGCTGATGCTGGAGGAGCAGCAGCTCTACTCTAAGACCCTCCCAGATATCAGCGCTCCCCAACCTATAGCAGTCTGAGTGGGAGGTGGGTGGGGGTGGCCAGTTCCAGCTTGTTTTCTTAAAGAGACAGAGCCCTGAAAAAGCTCATCCTGGAAGGTACTAAAAATGTCAAGAATACAACTGCTGAAATTGCTTCATGTGAGAGGGATTTTGTACAAAAAACTTCATAAACACAATTTGTATCAACCATAGAACTATTATAACTTAAGAAAAAAGTCACAATATGCCTCCTTTAATACCAACCCTTCAAAAGCCCACACCTTTCTTCCAAGCAGTGCATAAACAAGACCTTACATAATTCTTCACTGGCTTCCTTACTGAAATCCTCACAGTCCGCTAGCTAGAAAGTTCCACCACAATTGGATCTGATGCTCATCAAGATGCTTTGAAGCCTAATGAGCGGATCAAAAAGCATAATGGAAAAGATAAAAGCAGTTGACTTGTATTTCTAGAATCCTGCATGTTATCAGTGCTGTTAAATAATATTGGACACTCAAAACCATTTATCTTATTTTTATAAAGCATTATACTCTGCTGCCCACATTTACTGAAGGGCATCAAATTTGTTTCTGAAATGTCAGTCAAGTGACTGAGCTGACGGCTGAAGAGCAGCTCAAATATGCTTTGTTGTTGTGCAGCATTGACCAAGAGAGCCAGCGGAGAGCTGGGCGGCTGCCTGCCACCGCCTCAGTCGTCATCTTCAAATGTGCTATCATCTTCCACTTGCTACCAAGCTACACATCCTCACAGGGGATATAATTAGCTGGCTATACTGTCATCTTAGACAGCAGCCAAAACGCCATACTTAGGCAGCGCTGAGTTTCTCCGCCACTCCACAGAGTGCTGGGGATTTAGATTAATTGCTGATTGTGCCATTGCTTCCTTTTGAAGTCCATTGTGATGCATATTTGTTGTTGATGTCATCAGAGTCGGCCGCACACGGTAGAACTGTTGCAAATTAGACATAGGGACAAAAATGTAAATAGCAGTGTTTCTTAATTAGTCTTTCATCCATGACATTGATGATTAGCTGTACAGTGTGTGTGTGTGTGTGTGTGTGTGTGTGTGTGTGTGTGTGTGTGCGTGCGTGCGTGCGTGCGTGCGTGCGTGTGTGTGTGTGTGTGTGTGTGTGTGTGTGTGTGTGTGTGTGTGTGTGTGTGTGTGTGTGTGTGTGTGTGTGTGTGTGTTCATACTGCATACTGAGGACCATTTTCAAAATTTTCACCTTCAAAATCAGGACAAAGTGAGAACATTTTGACGGGTCCTCACTGTGTTACAATGCTGCTGAGGGATAGGCATATGGCTGTCACTAAAATCACTGGAAGTCAGTAAAGGTCCTCACAGCTACTTGTAAGACAAGTGTGTACTTTTTCAAAGGCATTTTAAGAACTGCAAGATGGATTTTAATGAAAATTTCAGAGAATGGTTCAATTTAATTTCAGGAGTCATCCTGATTCAAGATGGCCACCACAACAAATTGACATTTGCAAATTTGGTGTAGGTACTGGATCTGCTCAGGGTACCAGATTGCCTCGGGGGCCTGCCACTGCTGATGACGTCACACTGGACGATTGGCTGGATGTACGACTTGCGGATGTTACGTTATTATGTTTGCAAAAATTATGTTAGCACGTTGGCATTAAAGATTTTGACTGGCCGGACAAATTCACGGTTGTAGTTCTTAGGAGACATGGACAACTTTATCAAAGAAGTCCAACATCACTGGTGTGTTTAGGTTATAATGACATTCTTGGAGTGAAGAAGATCCCACTTAAAGAGTGTAATAGCATGCAGCCCATTGTTTCAAAAACTGGCATGATGGGATTTTACATTTCAAATTATTTTATTTCCATCCATCCATCCTAACGGAGAAGTAAGTGACACCGCCATCAGCGGCTATCTCTGAATGGTCGAAATTGTCAACAAAAAAGGTAAAACAACCTTTCCTGTGTTAAAAAAAGAACATTAATGCAATCAGAAGAATTGCATCGGACAGTTTGAGGGCTCACTTAAAGGTATAGCAAAGGGTCTTTTTCTTCTGGGTGGATCATCTGAACCATTGGTCAACTGTCAATCATTCTGGTGAACCACTCATGCAAGGCCATCATTATACGTGCACATTGCTGGGTAGTATTCACTTCCTGTGCAAAGCGAAGGTCGGGCTCCCCACAGACGCCTCTGTCGCCGGTTTTCTGGTCGACAGGTAAGCTAAAGTTCGGCATGGTATTTGGAGAAATTAATTTCAGATTACTGCTAGAAGAAGAGCTGCAAGGCCAGCAGCTACTTGTAAAAAGAGCGTGCACGAGGATAACTGGGCATTCTCTTTCAGGTGCTTTTTTTCCACAAAACGCAGAGAGGATGGTTCTTTCCTGAAATTCAGACACATCCTCCTCCATTCCTTTAACAGCTTTCTATCACTGTAGAAAATTCCTGTTTGGCTTCTGGTTTCTTAGGCAGTAAATCTGATTTCATGTTTACTCGTGAGATGTTATTTTTGTCCTGTTTTCCAACTGCAAATTGGATGTATTAATGGGAAAATCAAATTTACATTTTTTCCATTAATTCTTTGTTTATACTTGGTTCAAAACTTAATACATTTGCAAATGAAAGTGCTTTAATTATACAGATAAATCTAATCAAAGCCCATGTGTTATTGTGCATACTGGGAGCAGCATGTGAGGCGTGTGATAAACCTTCAATAGTGCCGTTGTGCGTGTGTGTTCATGCATGGACAAGTGATGTCTGGAGGCCGGGAGTACAAAGCACATTCATGTTTGCTTGTGAGTGACATGAAAAGTAGATGCAAGCCTGCACTCACTCCATCAGCCTATCTCTGACATGCACTATAGATCTCACATGAAGCCTTGGGGCCGGCAGGTCTTACCCCGACTCTCCTCTCAAACTCAATGAGCAGTCATCCATAAACATGAGACACCAAAGTGTAGAGGCTGACCCAAGCTTACTCGGGAGCTCTGACAACGCATGAATGTCCATTTGACACCAAGCTGTCCAATATTCTCACTGCAGTTTGTTATGTTTCCAAGAGGCTTACCAAGCAGTGATGGCTACTTGGTTCACATGATTATCAGAAATAATGGGTGCAAGTATTACCAATCCTAATAAGTGTTTTATGAGTTCTTGTAAGATAAATGATTCCTAAAACACTTTCATGTGTTTCTTTGCAGTCAAACCGACAGTGATCCACACGGATATGTTTGTCAACAGCATTGGCCCAGTGAATGCCATCAATATGGTAAGTGAAATAAAAGTAAATTCACACTTTTCCTAAACTTGTTGGTCAAGCGTTTAGTTAAAAATTGATTTGACTTCTTTGGCATTTTGCCATGAATATACATTTAGTTCATTTTATAAAATTTTGAGCACAGGAAACAACACAGACACTCTGCTCAGTTTTTATTTATTTATATTTTTTGTGTCAGCTTGTCAATGGCTGAGCCAGCTGGAGGCATGGCCGAGACTCGGCTGCAGTGCAGTGCAGCCGCAAAATACTGTAGCAGCTACACTACTGGGTACCACTTAGTCATTAGCTATGGCTGATTCAAATTCAATGTAGAGTAGACGTTTAAAGTTGCAGTTGCAAATCTGAAAACAAGCTAGCTAATAAACGTAAACACGGTTACAGAACTCTCAGTCCTCCCCTTGGATTTCACCCCTAGGCCATGTCTGCTGGAACCTGAACCTGCATTTCCAGAGAAAACGAGAAAGTGCTAAACACCAGTTGCCATTTTCTAGGTCTAAATGTCTTCTGGTTTCTGTGACTTCAAATGGCTTTTTCTTTTTGAAGCTCCGGTAGTTTGTCCTAAAGTTTCAGAGGTAGCATCTTTTGAGGTAGATGGCTGTTTCTCCTTCTCTGATTATACTGAGTGGAGAAACTCACACATCAGTGGTGTTCTGTTGCAAAATGCTTGAGTGCATAAGGACTGTAGGACCCTTATAAGTGCAGTGGTTCAATGAAACAGACAACTGGATGGTCTGATCGTTGTTTTCGGTGCAAGCTGTGTTATCGGCAGAGCTTTTTAGATAAACGCAAGCGAAACACTTCATTATTTATTTATTTATTTATTTATTTATTTATTTTATCTCTACAACCTGTATTAGAACATTGTTAAGAGGCATGAAGAAGTTGTTTTAAGCTAACTTGTTTTCCAGATTAACTATTCTAGCTATAAATAAGATGCACTAAAATGCCAAAATAATGACTACACGAGTCTACAGCACTGTTAGACACTCAATTATACAGTTTATCAACAAAAACAAGTTGATTGGGGGGTGACTTGCTCTTTAAAGTGACAGTGTGTATTTTTTCATGGCAATAGGGGGCAATAGATATTGTTGCAAGCAAGGAGTATTTTTGTGTTGGAGTAAGACCTTACCAAAGGATGCCCATTAGGGTCAAAAAGCCCTGGTGAGTACAAACTTCAGCAAAATAACAAGCACATCAGACTCCCTTTCATCACTGGCAATGAGTGAAGAGGTAAATGTGTAAAACAGCAACATTTAAGAATGATGAAAGATTTGCAACCGTTCGTTACAAATCAGTAAATGCATCTTGTCCTCATGGGCTCCTGTAGAAGGAAGCGTGGCATCTTATATGGCATCGCCCAGACTTAGACCCGCTCTCATGTACTTTAGACCTGATTTTTATGGTTATGTGTTACAAAACCGCCAATATTTTTCAACAACTGGGCAACATTTCATTCATTTACAACATTTTGATGGATATTTCCAGAAATAAATGGCAAAAAACTACACATTGTCCTTTTAAAGTCCTGTGTTGCTCCCCTTATAGCATGGCATGCTCTGACATAAGATTTCACTTTTCGTACTTGATTAAAAAAAATACAAAAATATGTATATCCTTTAAATACAGTCTTGGGAGGTAATTTAATTAAGCAAAACTGTCATTTCTACGCTCATCTGACAATGTTTCCCTGGTTTTATTAGAAGGGAACCACACCCTTGCTTTTTTTTTTTTTTTACATAAAATAAAAAATAACTAAATACTGGAAGCAGCAGTAGCTCAGGAGGTAGAGTGGGTTGTCCAGTAATCAGAAGGTTGCAAGTTTGATCCTGGCTCCGACCAGAGAATGCTGCTGTTGTGTCCTTGGGCAAGACACTTAACCCACCTTTCCTGCTGGTAGTGGTCAGGGGGGCCGATGGCATTTGTGTACAGTAGACTCGCCTCTGTCAGTGCGTCCTGGGGCAGCTGTGGCTACATCATAGCTCATCCCCACGACTAACTGTGTTATAAAGCGCCTTTTGGGGGGGGGGGGGGGGGGGGGGGGCTGTAGAACCCTAAGAAGGCGCTATTCAAATACAGACCATTACCTTTTAAATATGTGAAGTACACTCAGTATTTTGCTTTTTATCCTCCCTTTTTTACTATTCTTTTTTGTTAATATTGGAAAACTCAGAGAAAAAAACGTGTTCTTTAATCATCTGTAAACTCTCATAATCCAGCCAGCACTTGCTGTAATACTCTCACATCCTACACAGTTGCACTCACAGCCATTGGGTGTGAGTGAACATCTAATTTGTTGTCTTATTTCATTTTATTCCCAAAAAAAATGTGCATGAAAAAAAGGGAAAGTGAAAAATATTAATTTTGGCTAGTTTATGAGAGAATACACCTCTTCATATGCCCTCAGATTGGCATCAGTAATGTTAGGCAATAAAACGCTGAATATATTTAAAAAGCAGAGGTGGCAAACCAAGCTAAACACTAAGGAGAAATCAAAATAAATAAAATAAGGAGAAATAAAAGTCACTTTCAATAACTTCCAATAAACAACCTTTTTTGATTGCCACTGTTGCATGCTATTTCCGAGAGTGAGTCACAATTTTGCAGGGTAGTCTTTCCTACATGATGTCCAATTTCCCTTAAACACCCTCTCAACAACTGCAGTTAGAAACATTGATGGGATCAGTGAGAAAAAAATGTATCTGAGCTTGCATTGGCACGTTGGCATGAAAGCATGACTGGGTGTGTGTGCTTGTGTGTGTGATGATGAAAGCTTTCTGCTGACATGAACAGCTGACTGATGCTTTATGGAATGCATATGTCGTTGAGCATGTTCAAACGATGACATGACAAATGAGGTTGGTAGGTTGTTTTGTTTTTTCTGAGGAGTAGAGAGTAGATGGGTGGTGTGGGGGTGTGAATCAACAGTATGCAGGAATGACATTTTCATTGCTATATTATGAATAAGGAATCTGTGGTATATGGTAATCATTCAACTCTCAAGTATGAGAGTGGGTGAAATCAAAGTGATGCATTGTTGGAGGAGACCTTGTGAAATTTGTCTTTTTTTTTCTCAAAATCTGTTTCGTGTTTAGCCCGATTTCTACTTTTTGTCAATTTGTTCTGACATTCGTCATTCAAGTTATTTACTCTTTACTACCCAAGCATACTTCCCTCAAAATATTTAAAATGCTTTTGCTTAAAGTGCTTAAAATTGTATAGATTTTTCATCGTTAGGGAAAATGCTTTGATTTTAAGAGGACTTTGGTTTGTAAAATAAATGCTTTTCATAAATAAACTGCTAATTATCCTCATATTTATTATTTATTTCATGAAGTATAAAATTCAGATTTCGGCTGCTCCAACATGGAGTGACCTGACTGAGGCTGGTATTATATTGCTGTTTTATTATTTAAAAGTACACCATGTCCATCTGCACAGCTATGTGGTTTTAAATAAATTTACTGTTTTCCTTTGTTGATTTGTTTCCTTGAGGAAATTTTGGGTTAATGCTAGCTAGCTTTATCTCTGTTTTGATGACATGCATTGATTGCTCAGGTCAAAGCATACTTTGCAGCAGTTCTGGTCAATTGTGCACTGACAAAATGTTTATGTTTATTTATTTAGCAGACACTTTTATCCAAAGCGACTTACAATTTATAACCTATAGGGCATGTTGTGATCTGTGGGGGAAAACGGAGTACCCAGAGGAAACCCACGCATGCATAGAACACGCAACTCCACGCAGAAAGGCTGCAGCTGAGTTTCGAACCTGCAACCTTCGTGCTGCGAGGCAACAGTGCTAACAACTGTGTCACCATGCAAATGTTCTTGCTGCTGCCTCTTCTGTTTAAGTTTAAAATTAATCTTCATCTTCTGCTCAGTTTCTTGTATTTCCTGTACAATGCCCCCACTCCCCAAGTTCTTGAAATGTGCTGCTACCCATATACCCATGTATGTACTAACACAGCCTTTGTGATGACAAAGCACAACTAAAGCAACAGGTTATGAGATTATGTAATTCTTCGTTCAAACAATGACATATACTAACTGCCCTGCTGAACATTTAATTTTCAAGGCCAGACTGTCAAGAGGGTCTTTTTCTCAGCAGTGGCTTTTTATGGACTGAAGGGCTTCTTGGTCTGAATAGACACAGAAAAAGCTGCTCCCAAATCTGTTCCATTGTTTCCACTGACATAAAAAGTGCCTTTCAGGCAGAAAGTGGAGATCCGCTAGGAGTGAAACACATCGACCAAAACAGATGCAGCTAGTAGTGAAGGAAATCTTTAGTTTTTTTTAAAAGAGGAGAAGGAGATGTTGAAATTTCAATGGCTATAGCTCCAATCCTGCTGCACATTGGCCACAGTGGTTAGCACTAGGGATGAGCGAGTACACCACTATCTGTATCTGTTCAACCATCTAAATTATCTGTATCTGTATCTGTACTCAGAGTGGGCGTGGCCTAACCCGGAAGTGGGTGTAGTTTAACCGGAAGTGGGTGTGGTTTACATCAATACACTATGTTAAAGAGCAAGTCACCCCCAAATAAACTTTTTTTTGCTGATAAACTAAATAAATGAGCGTCTAATCGTGCTGTAGACACGTGTAGTCAATAATTTGGCACTTAAGTGCATCTTAGTTTAAATTTAAATATTCTGCCTAAAACGGGCAGTGTCCTGCCATTGTCAGGTAAAAACTCTGCACTGTATTTTAATTTAAATCTGCCACCACTATTGGCTAAGAGGTATGCTATGATGTAAACTGGTACATTATGATGTCACAGTGCTGTTGTGAGCCTGTGTATGTGTGTGTGTGTGTGTGTGTGTGTGTGTGTGTGTGTGTGTGTGTGTGTGTGTGTGTGTGTGTGTGTGTGTGTGTGTGTGTGTGTGTATTTGTTTGCAGATCCGCCATCTCGGTCTGCAAAGGCAACAGCATTTATTGCATTTTTCAAACATGAAGTGGGAGTGGAGTTAGACTCTGATAGGGGGTGACTTGCTCTTTAAGTCTGATCAGAAGTTGCTATGTGTATTGTTTATTTGAAAACTATTTACAGAGCAGCCTCAGAGTTGAGATTAAATGTTTTTGATCACGATAGTAAAGGAACTATTACAGAATAAGTTTTTCAATAAAATCAGAACATTAACATTTAAGTGCATGAATTAAGAGAGAGCGAGAGAGAAGAAAAGATCTTTTCTATAGCGCCTCTCAAGATACAAATCACAGGGCACTTCACAAAAACAAAACATGTAAAATAGAAAAAATAATTTAGAAAACGATTAAAATATATTGAAAATGAGCAAAAAATAGACAGTTGTGATTAAAAAATGTAAAGAAAGAGAGAGAGTGAATAGAAAAGAGGGAGTGGATCCTGAGGAAGAGGAGAGCTTGACTTTTATTAATGATGGGATTTATGACTCTTTGAAGTGAACCGTTCATTCAAGAGTCGTTTACCTCAAAGAGCCCTTCAAAGAGTGTAAGAGGAGAGGTCTACTTGGGAACAGTTGAGCGGCGTGTCACGCCAATCTCCGTGGTGGGGGGGTCAAAAGATTTGATTTGTTGGTGAACGTCATGTCAGTAAAGTTTACAGACAGACAATGCAGCAGGGCTATTCATTTCTGGGCCTCGAGGGCACATTTTGGCTTTAACCCTGCTTCAACACACCTGATTTCAATCAGCAGGTCATTAACTGGCTTCTGCAGAGCCTGATGGTGTGTGTTCGAGTAGAGAAACCACTAAAACATACTAGATATTGGCCCTCAAGGCCACAAATTGAATAGCCCTGCAATATAAGATGAGTTAGTGCTCAAGCTAGGTTGGTGTGCTAAACTGACTACTGTATATGCCAGTATGTCAGGCCTTAGTGAATGCTGGGAACTGGGGTGCATTCTTACTGGCTGCTCCCTCTTGTGGATACGCAACTAAATTGGTCAAAACTCTGGGCTCACGTAAATGACTTGCTTGGCTGTAGAGGCGAGGGGAGGGACTTGGGGCAAAATGTTATAAAAAGTACCTACTTCATATCATAGAAAGGTGTCAGACAGGCAAATTTAATCATTTTAAAAGTTACTTTAAAAAGTTTTTAACTATCTACCCCGTTTCATTTTTACAAAAAATCTTAAACTTGTGTTTCATTCATCAGGAATACACCATCGATATATTTTTCGCTCAAACCTGGTACGACAGAAGGTTAAAATTCAACAGCACAATGAAGGTCCTTCGTCTCAACAGCAACATGGTCGGGAAGATCTGGATCCCAGACACTTTTTTCCGCAACTCAAAGAAAGCCGACGCCCACTGGATCACCACACCCAATCGTATGCTCAGGATATGGAACGATGGAAGAATACTTTACACCCTCAGGTAGGATGTCAGGGTTGGCTGACGTGGGTTTGAAAATCTTGGCAAATTTTGTACTTATTCATCTTCAACCAGGAATTTCTTTCCAGAACGGTCTAAAAGACGCATCATTTTATGTTTTCCTTATGGTGCATTCAGCTAATATGCTCCAGATCTACACTAGAATATTTCTGAATTCATCTTGGAATTCTACATTTTTTGCACGCCACCATGCCTACAGCAGACATTAGCTCAGGCAAATCTAACTCATATCACCAATAATGATAAGAACTTCTTCTAGGCTCAATCACACCGTGATGGATGTTCTCCCTAGCAGAACACTAACCCCCTGCTTCATTAATTTGTTAGGGAACTCAGAACTTAAGCACCGCTTAATTAGGATGGCTGCTGTGACTCTGAGCACAATGATACATGACAATAGTGAGTGCATGGATGGGTGAAGTCATTTAAGGTCATTCTCTCATTAAGAGGAAGTTAAATGACTTTGCCTTTAAACTTCATCAAGTGTGGAAAAAAAGAAAAGTGTGCCTCTGTTCAATTTATTTTGTAAATTTATTATTTCCATTATGAAAAGGGCTTTTTTTGGGTAATTAATTATTTAGGAATGAGTGGATATTATTTGCTGTGTCCTTTTAATTAGTTTTCTTGGTTTTTCCAGGTTGACCATCGATGCCGAGTGCCAGCTTAAACTGAACAACTTCCCCATGGATGAGCACTCGTGTCCCCTGGAGTTTTCAAGCTGTAAGTTTGGCCATATGCGCATAGCCTACTGCTTTACGATGCACTGTTGTATCGCTGTCTCATCTTAAACACAAACACAGCGTTTAAAGGTGCAGTATGTAAGAATGTAGTGAGAATTTTACAGTAAGAAAATCCCAAAAGAATCATTTTGGAAGGAAGATGATACTGAAACATATGTCAAATTCAGTCTGGCTGCAGGGATTGTCAGTTTTTCTCCTTTCAGAACAAAGGAAGGAGGGATGTAACTACTGTTTACCATCAGTGAGTGGGGCGTTGCCGTGTCTCCTGCGAGCTAATACTGCAGCGCTGACAATTCTAATTTCACGACAGCCGGCAAAAAGCTCCAGAGTTGTTCAAAGTGGTTGTAGTAACCAGGACATAATTTTTAATTCATTTCTACATATTGCACCTTTAAGGTATTTTCCATACAGACAGGTCAAATGGACACATTTGCACAGAATGAAGCTGCTTTTATTGGAAGATAAAAATATACTGATCAAAATAAAATTTAAATACCTTACAGAGTGAATCTAGACAGTGTGTCCCTATGTTAAAGCTATAAATCATTTCTATGTGATCTGTGGTCGGCCTCTGTTTGAACCACTATCCTGTAGGACTAGGGAACTGACAGCTATAGAGGACCCAAAGGTAACGTGTATTTGTGCTCCCAAACGAATGGCACTCTGGCAACCTTTAAATTTCTGTTACTTTTACATTGAAATTAATTTGAAAACATTCCCTAGATAAAATGGTGGATGTTGCTGCTGTTTATAATTGATGGGGGGGCTAAAGATGGAACAAATGCATGCATTTAACTTTAATGAGAAACATGGATGTTATTAGAACTCTGAAAATCACTTCAGATACAGCACATGATGGAAGTTGCCTCTATTTACCATGTGTTCAATTATCTCGGCACGTGCCACCATAAGGCAACGAAGCGTGGTGAGTCTCTGCTTCAGTAGCTGAAGTTTTAGACTTTAACTGCTCATGATTGCAGCTGCCTTGACTGAGCTTTAGCAGCCTTCTTTTCCTAGATTCCCAGAAGGAGAATGAATCTATAATGTGTTGTAGATGCATTGAGTAGAAGGCCAGACGTGCTTTCCTGGTTGGCTGGGATGTTGGGAAATGGGATGCACTTTCCCTCCCTAGCTACATGAAGGCCCAGAATTACTGGATGTCAGAGAGCACTTAAGTGATGAGATGATTTAAAGTTTGCACAGAAGAAATTCCCTGTGCATTATTTAGGGCATGGTTCATCTTGCAGACTGAAGGCTGAAGAAAACTGGTTGGAAATCATCACACACAGATTTATTTTTTTCTTTATCTTTTTGCATTAAAGGTGCAGCTTTCATTCTTGGAAAAAGCCGTTCAAGCAAGATGCAATTTTATATAAATAAATAACTAAATAAATACAATTCTAAAGGTATGAAACGACCCATTGGAGAGCAGAACAGCATCACCGCCATATTGGATCGGTCTCCTCACTCTCCACAGTCAATGCAGAGAGTAGATACCTGTGTCCCTTTTTGTGGAGCCTACGGTTGCAACATCTAGCATACTATTGAAAACAGATCACGTGGGATTACTATTGACTTTTCTAGCCTACCTGATGGGATTTTATGTTTTAATTTATTTTAATTAATTTTGTTTAATTATATTTATATTTTAATTACCATGCCATACCATATGTCCGATTTTGTGAAAAAGCTTGATAAATTGGTTCTTTAATTGGGTAAGTACCTTCCTCAGTAGAAACTAGCGGGCCATTCCCATCTGTACCAGGTCGGCCCGGGTCGGATAGCGTAGGTTGTTTACATATCTGGGTGGCTTGGTATTTTTCCGGGCCAACCAAGGCTCATTCTCAGCCCTCTTCGCGAGGGGGTCTGCTTCAGGCCGACCAGGGCCAACACACCCACTGCTGACAGCAAATTCACACCTTCCATTAGAGCAAGCCTCTGATTGGTGGGTAGAATCAGCCCACATGGGCTTAAGGCAAGGATGTGTGGAATCAACCGGGCCAGGCTGGGGCCGACTGGGGCTACCCGGCCCGGGCCGACCCGGTACAGATGGGAATGTCCCATAGGGGTGAATGGAAACCCATCTAAGATGGCGACCAGCCGCCACAGCAGCTGTGGTCTGACCCCCTTTCTTCAGGGTTCCATAGAGTCAGAATCTGGTGGCTGCAGAAAATGATACAACACCGGCTTGTGACACAGACGCACACAAGCTGACATCGCTCATCTTAGCTGCTGCTCAAACTCGCTTGGTGGATGGGTTGTGATCAATTCTTTTGGGTACCAGCACTGAAATGCACTTTTGAGGAGATTCAATTTTATTTATTTTTTGCATAAACATTTTGGTGTGTGAAGAGAATAAAAAGAAAAAAGAAAAATGATGTTCCAGAAAAAATGATCAGACATTACCTTTTAATCTTAGCCAGTTTATAAAAGAATAGTGCTTTAAAAATAAAAGAATAAATAAAAACTCTGAACAATAATTCAATACTCCAGGATGTCATTTGATTAGGATAATGGAATTGCTCAACGAAATTAGCCTAATCGAGAGAAGACAGAAAACGTCTATGTAACACTGAGCATTCAGGGACATAGAAATGAAATCAGTGATGCAGTTTTTGTTTCACATCAGCTCAGTAGAAAGTTGATTTTTGTTCCCCGTAGATTTGAGATGTCTTCAACATGTTATGCAGGACTTTGTTACATAAGTAGATATTTTTGTAAACTAAAATATATCCAAGCTAGCTGCCCTGAAGGTTATACTCTGAAATAAAACAGAATAAGCTCCGTTTATTAAATTTTTGGGGATTCTCTGAGAGCGATGTGCCCCTTTTTAATGGAGAAAGAGAAACAAAAATAACATGTTTTTGCCACAAGCAGCTGTCTCCAGGTTCAATATGAGTTTCTTTGCATTCTGTCTTCTTCAGACGGATACCCCAAGGAGGAGATTGTGTACAAGTGGAAAAGGAGCTCAGTGGAGGTTGGGGATATTCGCTCATGGAGGCTTTACCAGTTCTCCTTTGTGGGCCTGAGGAACAACTCTGAAGTTGTCAGAACGGTTTCAGGTAAGAAACAAAGTCATTGTTCCTTTTCTAATCTTTTTTTTTTCTTTTCATAACGGCTGGGAGAAAACATTTCATCTTACTGACTTCATCCTACTTTAATATTAAATTTGAGCTTCAATAACGCATCATTTATTCCCACTAGTTAACAAAAAAGCTCCATTTGAGGCTTGATATTATGTTTTTATTGTTTGTTGATAGAACTCTTTCACAATGGCTACACCTCTTACAAGTCAACCTATAACTATTCACTGCTGAACTGCACAGTATTTTGATTTGCACTTGTTGCTATGGGTTACAGAAGATTGTGGGAAAAGACACATGATCAATTGTGTTCCTTATCCACTTTTAGCTCCCACCGCCTTGGCTTTCTCGCCTACATTTTTTCCTGGAGTCAGCTGTTCTTATTGCATCTCAACCCAAAAGGATGGAAGGATTTTCATGACGCAGTCTGGTTTTTCATATGTTAAATAACACTGGGAAGGGAAATGTGCGTCATTGAATCTTTTTTTTTTATGGCACATTGGCTCCTTTCCATGTAGAGACACTGGAAGATTGTGGATGTTTGCCGGAAGGAGAGGAACTTCTTTTCCTGGATAGTGTTGCTATTTCAGAGAAGCCGAGTTGGCATGCACATTTTTGAATATTTCTGATCATGAGACATTGGTGACTAATGTGTGCAAAGTTTCTATTTCCAAGGTTTTCAGAATTGTTTTGTCATAACCAGGAAAGACACTGGTTTTACTTTTTCATGCGAGACAAAACTAATTCAATTATTTTGAGCCACATCTTTAACCTTTTAACTATAACGTGTCCCATTCCACTGTGTTTTTAATATTTATCACCTTAACTTGTATTGCACATTTACATTAACAAATATGTTTTTAGATCCAAGCCTTTTAGATAAGAATGAATGTTATTCTAGATGAAAATTGCCCAGATTTTACTTTTTATCAACATGCATTCTTATAAACAAAACCAGTTTAGATGTGTTGTCTGTAGACCCCAGTGATCTCAACTTGAACACTTTTAGTTTTGGAAAAGCAATATGATTGAAACATTTCGACGTTAAATGGCCAGTGGCCTGTATTTGATATAGCAACTTTTAGAGTCCTAGAACCCTCCAAGACACTTTACAACAGAATCAGTCATTCACACACTGGTGGTGATGCCCTGAGATGCACTGACAGAAGCAGACAGTGTTTAAGTGTCTTACACAAGAACTCAATGACTGAAGCAGACTGAGCAGGACTTGAACTTGCAACTGTTAGGTAAACATACCCAACAGCAACCTTCTGATTACGGGGCAGAAACTTAACTCCTCTGCTACCATTGCATCAATTTTACAGAAATAAAAACATACATATTTAGTAGATATTTAATTTTTTTATCATTGGCACATAAATGACTTATTTGTTTTGTTGGTGGAAAAAAATCAGTTTAATGAGGCAATAACTAACTAGGACAGGATTATTATGAAAAAGGAAATATCAAATCTGCTATATGTTAGATTTTCAGATCTACAGATGCACATTAGACCCAATGATGTGTTAATCACGTGTAAATACCAGCACTATGATACCACCACCAGGGGATTGTTGGATTCCTTCACGGTCTGTTATTAAATATCCCGGACAAGCCCCTATTTATGTTACATCCCCGACTGGTGTTAAAAGTGAAGGATGCGGGTAACATAAGAACTGGCAGAGGAGTTTAAAATGGTTTTATTTGTAACAAAAAGGTATTAAAAACAAGCAAACAGATCTCTCTAAAAAGTTAACATTACACAGCAAATTATCAACTATAAAACACCTGGTTAAAACTTATATTAAAAGCTTAACCGAGCAGAAGGTGTTTTAAAATCTCAAAGTTGATAACTGTTCCCAAAACAATACACTGACTAAAACACCTAGTAAAACTTATTTTTAAAAAAAAGCTTTACCACATGAAGGTGTTTAAAAACCGAGGTCAGTAAAATTGCACAAACAAAGTTAACCTTACAACCGAACAAACATCAAAAGATCCCACTGGATCATACCAAACTTATCGCCAAGAGTTTAAAACTACCACAGTCTAAAACTCAAACAAATCCAAACAAATCTAAACGAGAGGGGTTGAAAACAAGCAAAACCAGGAGGACAGCAGAACCCCTGCACTGCTGTCCTCCCAGACTGCTGAAGGCACAGCCCTTTTATGCAGGTGTTTGCTCATTAGGATTATTCCTCCCAGCTGTGCTCCTCAGCAGCCCGGGAGAGATGAGGAGGAGGGGCGGTGTCAGGCTGATTCACCAGGGCTTGGTGACCCTGGCTGCTTCTTTTCCCTGGCCAGACTGACAACCGTAACAGGAAGTCTAAAAAAATCGCTGCACTTTAAACGAAAATGAGCAAAACCCACTGTGTAGGTCCAGATGCAATCTGGGAAGAAAGACACAATTAATAGCAAAAACCTTTATTTCAAAGAAAATAATTATCTATGACTGGAAAACAACAGAAGGGTTCTATTGAAACAAGACAAAACCTAAAATGTCCAGATAGTCGGCGTAAAAGCAGTAAGGGGTTTTTATACTCTCTCTGTTGCGCGTTCTGGGACCAAATGCTCAAACTGTGCTAAAGCAAGCAGATCAAATAAGTAAAACTTTATATAAATGTATTTTAATCTGTTCATTTTCTTCAAAACCTTTCTTTTTTTTTCATTTGACAGCACGGAAAGGAAATCTGTATTGAAGGAGGAACATTTGTAGAGAATACAGAGTCCTCTGACTCTTTCCTTTTGATCAGATTTTTTTCCACAAAGTGCCATCTGCTCTCTTGTCAGAGCAGGGAACCTTGACTGTGGCTAAGAGACCTCTTGTCTCATTTTCCACTCAGTTTGGGAACTGACCTGCTTCAAGATTTGTGAACACAACATCTGTCCCGAAGAGCAGTCAGTCGGGGCTTCATAATTACTGTGGCATCTCACATACTCACCATGCAATGGTGTCCTGCAGGATGATTATGTACGCTGTGCTACCATCAGCTCATTTCAAGGATTTTAAATGTGACAAGCATAATGTTAATAATAATTTAATCTAGAGTGTTGCTATTATTCAAAGTCAAACTACTCCAAGTGTGTGTTCACTTTTTAGGAACTTGAATTCAGACTAATTAGTAATTTTTATTATGACATAATGAAAGGATAAATTAAAAAGTACCTCATTATGGGGAGAAAAAGTCTCAAAAGATTTATGTGTGTGTGTGTGTGTGTGTGTGTGTGTGTGTGTGTGTGTGTGTGTGTGTGTGTGTGTGTGTGTGTGTGTGTGTGTGTGTGTGTGTCTAGATTTGTGTGTGCAAAATGAAATATTTGTGTGTGTGTGTGTGTGTGTGTATATCTAAATTTGTGTGTGTGTAAATGGTAAATGGCCTGTATTTGATATAGCGCCTTCTAGAGTCCTGGAACCCCCCAAGGCGCTTTACAACACAATCAGTCATTCACCCATTCACACGCACATTCACACACTGGTGATGATGAGCTACAATGTAGCCACAGCTGCCCTGGGGCGCACTGACAGAGACGAGGCTGCCAAGCACAGGCACCACCAATCCCTCCGACCACCACCACCAGCAGGCAACGTGGGATAAGTGTCTTGCCCAAGGACACAACAACAGCGACAGACTGAGCAGGGCTCAAACCTGCAACCTTCCGATTACGGGGCGAGCACCTAACTCCTGTGCCACCGTCGCCTAATGGTGTGTGTGTGTGTGTGTGTGTGTGTGTGTAGATCTAAGCATATGTAACTCTTGATTTGTAACTTGTGTTTACATTTCCGTGTGTAACTTCAGCTCATACATATACAAATCACACACACACACACACACACAGAGAGAGAGAGAGAGAGAGAGAGAGAGAGAGAGAGAGAGAGAGAGAGAGAGAGAGAGAGAGAGAGAGAGAGAGAGAGAGAGAGAGAGAGAGAGAGAGAGAGAGAGAGAGAGAGAGAGAGAGAGAGAGAGAGAGAGAGAGAGAGAGAGAGAGAGAGAGAAAGAGAGAGAGAGAGAGAAAGAGAGAGAGAGAGAGAGAGAGAGAAAGAGAGAGAGAGAGAGATTACCTGGTACACAAGGAAAAAACAACATTACACACAGATAAGTTTACAAGTACAAAAATTGTCTTTTAAGTGAGCAATTTAAACGAACCCAAACAAACTAGCAGTAGTACAGCAATGCTAGTATTCCAATGAGTTATGCTTGATGAAAAGAGGACAAGGAGAGAAACATCGTTCATGTTTTATGTAGATGTGTCATATTCTTTAATCTGTCCCTTTTCTGCAAATGCATATTTCAGAGTTATAAACAGAAACAAACAGATAAAAACAGACAAAGATCTTTTTGCTGATGAAAGGAAGAAAAAGTATGTGATTACTTGGATGTGAGACAATCAGAGTACTAGGTGTAACTGATGATGTTGACCTAAACATGAACCCCCTGAGCTTTGATTCCACCCATCTGCCATGCCGGAGTCCAGAGATCGTGAAAAACATCATAATATAGACAAAGATGGGAAGTGATTAAACTAAAAAACAATAAAAGAGAATGAAACATAGCAGCGAGGAGCAAAAAGATTAAGCTAAATCTATGCTAAAGGTCAGCAGTATAATACACAGCTGGAAGTAAAAACAGGATTTTACTGTTATTTTTAGCACTGGGGTTTCTGTAATAAACATTTTTATTTTCTTAATCATGAAACTGCGGTTGCGTGTTCTACCATTGCAATGAAAAGCACTCCTATTTTCTAACCAGCATAGCAGACATTTCCTAAACCCTAAGAAGCCATTGTTCTTATTTAAATAACTAATCGATAACTACTAAATTATATTCATTACTTTCTTTGCAGTAAAACGTCACAGATACAAGTGGTTGATAGATTGAACTGAGCTGAAGGAAGCAGCATAATCATTGGAGGGCGAGATTTGATTATTCTTTTTTGTTGTTGTTGTTTTTAATCAATAAAATAGTTTGGCCAGTTTTACTGAA